TGCCTCTTGCCGACCTGGGCAGGCTCACAGGAGCCACCAGCCTGGTCCCGGGAAGAGGTGGAGGGCTGGGGGGCAGCGGGTGGCTGGTTCGTGCCGTGCCAGATGCAGGATCTGCTGGCTGGGTGCTGGCAGGCTTGCACCTGGCACGTGCACCGTAGCCAGACTATGCCCCTTTAAGGGCTCCGGGGCCGGGAGTGGGGCAGAAGAATTTCCCTGGTGGTGCCCAGAGTGCCCACCAGGGCAAGCTGGGTAGGGCTAGCCTCCCACTAGTTTGAATTAAGTTGCTACACAGCCCTTAATTCAAACTAGTTAATTCAAACTAGGCGTTAGTCCTCGTAGAATGAGATTTACCTAGTTCGAATTAAGCGCTCCGCTAGTTCAAATTAAGTTCCAACTAGCGGTTTGTATGTGTAGCGCCTATCAAAGTTAATTCGAACTAACGGCTGTTAGTTCGAATTAACTTTGTAGTGTAGACATACCCTCAGAGCGGTAGACAAGCAGCAGAAGCTGAGAAATAGCCATCTAAGGGGATCCCTTTAAGCTCGCGTCTCAGATAGCCTTAGGCAGCAACTCCCAGAAGTAACTGCTGACCTAATGCCCTGCCTGAACTGGTTCCAGGTGGACTTAAATGCAAGAAAGCATCTGATCAGTGTGGACGCTCTCTTTCAAAATAGCAAATCGCTACTTCGTTGCGCTTTTGGTGTGTAGATGCTCTCTTTCTAAATCAGCTTTTCCCGAAGAAGCTTGCAGTGTAGACGTAGCCTAAGACATGGTCTCTGCCCCTAGGAGCTTATCTCTAAACAGAGAGGGAAAATGAAAAGTGGGCGAAAGGAATGGGACACAGAGGCAGAATCCTCAGTGTGTTCTTTTGCAAATGTCATCTTACTTCCACAACTTCGAGGGTGGGGGTGGTATGCAGTGGATTTATAGTTTCCCTGTAATAACTAATCAATGCTGTCTGATGCCCTATATATTGGGATGCTAACTGATCTTATTGACTTGGTTTAATAGCATCTGTTGGGAAAAAGAAGCCGAGCTGGAGAGAAGGGCTCAGGACAAGCTGCTTCTCAGCAAACACTGCAGGGCTGTTAGGGGACAATGGCAGGACTAGTAACTTTGAAGATTTTGGCTCCTCTAGAACTCACCTGCAGAGCTGCTCTGAGCCAGGCAGGAAGAGGGTTGGGAGGGCAAGTGATCAGAAGATCTGTGGCAGGGTGAAGAAAGAACACTCTCTTAAGAGAGGGGAAAAAGATGCACCACTGAGTACTGATTCTGGAAAGGACAAATCACAGGGGCCTGAATACAGCAGAGCTGCTGTGTGAGCACAAAAGATATACCGATGATTGGTTCCTGCAGCCCAGGGCTCATCTGAGCTTGGGAGACTCACAGGATTCCTGCCCAGGAGCAGTAAAGTCATGGGGCCTGACTCCTGAAGCGATGCACTCAGAGACCAGCGAGCTGTGTGTCCGTGACAGAAGAGTTTCTAGTTTACTGGGGCTTTGTTAGAGCACTGGCTCCTAGGAAGAAAGGCAGGAAGGGACACATTAAGAGGGATGACGTAATGGGGAATAAGGGCCATAGAAGGGAAGGAGCTAGAAGAGACTCAGATCCCAATCTAACTCCCACTGGAATATCTAGAAACCACTCCCCCTCTGTTTACCAAATGCGTGTGGAAGATACCATTTCATAGACGCTGATGGCGACCGCCACGCAATGGGACCTTGCAGGCACCATGCCTGGGAGATCGCGTTGTTTGGAGGACACCATTTTGCTGGCAAGTGTAGAATTGCACTTTTGACCTGCCCCGGCGGGAGCTGGGTCAGGCCAAGGATATAGCAAAAGGTAGGACAGGGGGAGGTGGGAGGGCAGGGAGGGTAAAGCTGGGAGATAAGGGAAGAGCCGGGGGTGACTGACACCCACAGCCAATCAGAAAGGGGAAGGAGAGCCCGGCAGGGCGTGAGTGCGTGTGCAGCGCATGTCACATCACAGGCGGGTGTGAGAGAGTGCGTGTGGAGAATGGGGGCTATGTACCACACAGGGCCCAGGTCAGCAGGGGATTTAATCGGAGTAGCCCCCACTGACATCCGTGAGATTCCTCACATGCTTACAGTTAAGCACATGCTTACATGCTTTGCTGGATCGGGGCCAGCATGTTTTCACAAAGTATAGGTTGAACCTCCTTGGTCTGGCACCCTCGGGATCGGTGTGGTCCCGAACAAAGCAAAAAGAATCGGAAGAAGATATGCAAATGAGTGTTATATTTGCACATCCTCTTCTGCAAAAAAAATGGCAGTGTCGTTGTAGCCTAAATCTCAAACCCAGAAGAGAGAGAAAAAACCCCTCTTCCAGTTTGAAATTCATACCTGCATTGTCATTGGCTGACCACCCGATACCTGCCTAGGTACAGGAGACATAGTTAACCCCTTAATCACCAGGTGCTCATCAGCACTCCTAATTATGAGAAGGGGTCAGAGTGGTGTGACACTGTTGCAAAGAACAGAGATGTTGCTGCAGAAAGAATTCAGGGTGATGTTCTTGCTGTTCTTTACAGCAGCCAGCACATACGGCTGCTCACTGTTACCCTCCTTGACCCTTTCTACATCCAATTTCTGTTACTGTCTCTCACACACTGCACACAGTGATTTTTGTATAGCCTTTGCATGACCTACAGTGCCTAGTCACACAAGGTGCTTCATCTCCGATTGTGCTAGAAAAGGACGGGTCAGTCTGTTGTGTGTCACGCTGGGACAAAGCTTAGAGAAGCAATGTCTCAACACCGCAGTGGTGGTGTACAAACCCCACCCTGATTAACCAGAGGTTAATAGGAGCCTGCACCCCATTAGGCTGCTGGGTGGCACCTGGAAGGGTGTTAGTCACTCATGTGGTCACTGGGAATGTCCCCTCTGGGGATAGCTGCAGAGAGAGGCCTGGAGCCAGAACTGGAGGGTCTGGGCAGGAGCAGGCGGGGGACAGTGAAGCCTGGGCCAGGGGTTGGTGGGCTCGGGCTTGGAGAAGCCAGAGGCTCAGGTGATTAGAGCCCTGCCAAATTCATGGCCATAAAAATGTGTCATGGACCATGGAATCTAGACATTTGTGTGCGTTTACTCTGTACCATACAGATTTCCTGGGGGGAAACCAGCATTTCTCACATTGAGGGGCCTGACCCTAATTAGAGAAGCAATTTCTCAGCACTGCTGTGGTGGGTTGTACAAACCCCACCCTGGTTAACCAGGGGTTAATAGGAGCCTGTGCCTTATTAGGCTGCTGGGTGGCACCTGGAGGGGTGTTAGTCACTAATGCAGTCGCTGGAAATGTCCCCTCTGGGGCTAGCGGCAGAGAGAGGCCTGGATCCAGAATAGGAGGATCCAGACAAGAGCAGGCAGGGGGCAGTGAAGCCTGGGCCCAGGGGTAGGTTGGCTCAGGCCAGGAGAAGCCAGAGGCTCTCATGATTAGGACCCTGCCAAATTCATGGCCATGAAAAATGTGTCACAGACCATGAAA